TATTATTTACTTATTATTATATATATATATATATATATATATATATATATATATATAAAATCCTAGAAAGATTATAATTCTGCATAAGTTACGTTATCGGTCAGTGTTATTATTGATCCAAAATATTGTCTGCTGCATAATGAAAACTTTGGCATACCTCAACTTTTGCAAAGTACGAGTCTTATCGTACCGCAATATCATTCGCGTGATGCTGGCTGTAAAATGACGATATTGATCATGTATTAAAATTAAATTGTTACAGCGAATTATGAAAATCCTAATTCGAGAAAAAGAAGGAATACATTCGTAAAATTCGTTAGCTTCATTATTTCAAGATTAAACGCGAGCGGGATGATAATATTTATCAGTCTTCTTGTACATGTAGCTGTATTTGCTCGGCCCTTTTCCAACAAACTCCAATATGACGCTCTTTCTCCTTTGATGGTGCTGATAACAAACGAGATAGATAGTCGGGATGTAATGGACGGGGATAGACGGATGATACGCAGAGGCTGCGAGAGTGGGAAAGCGCGATGCGACCGCGGGGCACGGGGGCGGTGAGCGGATGAGAGAGGGAGGCGACAATTCAGAAAGAAGAAGCGAGAGAGAACTTGGAGGGAAGGAGAAGCCGGGAGACAGAGACGGAGCCGGTTCAAAATCAATAAAATGTCCTGCGAAAACGTTTTCGGCTCTTTATAAAATCTTCGCGTCTTCTTCATCCGTTTATATCCTTCGTCCATCCGTTTATATCCTTTTCCGCCCCGTTCTCGGTAGCTGTACGCGTTTTTCTCGTTTATATATTCTCCAAGCTATTTTTTCCAACCAGTTATCTGTTTCTCGCTTACTTTGAAAGTGATGAAAACTTTGGTGCTTTACGAAAGTTAACTTTTGAATATATATATATATACACACACACACACACACACACACACACACACACACACACACACGCGTATTTGCTTCATGATTTCAATCGCATAACTGTGCGTTCTCTTTTGTCATATTATCATATACATTAGTTTATTAGCCATCCGTATTTACATAAAATCGTAACAATAATCGAGCATAAATAGCGTGTTACAATATGTTGAAGTTAATGCGTTGAAGTTCATTGCTTGTATGAGCTATTTTCTAAGGACATCTCTTAAAAATCACCGATATTAAATAACGCTACGATGTGCTATATATATCTCTGGTTGTTAATACACAGAAGCAGATGCTGGCGCGGCTGCGCAAAGAGGTAGAGACGTCCGTGGCGGACAACGCAAATGGATCGAAAGTTTCCATACCGTCTCTTCTCGGGCTGAACAACAATAATCATATAACGAACAATAATGAAACGAAGCATGAAGCGGCCACCAATGGTTTCGAGACTAAGCCATCGAAGGAGGATTACGAAGAGATTGTCAGAAATGGCGACGTTCATCATTCACCACCGCGAGATAATGATTGTGCAAAGTAAGTTCACGCTGTGCGCTGAAAAAAAGTAAATTAAGTAAGAAACCTCGTTTCACACATTATATTCATAATCTACTTGAAATAACGCGAAAATATCTTGTATAAAAATGTGTATTATCGAAACGCAGAATTTTGAAATAAAACTTTTGGAATTTTTTCAATTGGAAGTTTCTTTGCAGGCTACGTCCTAGCTCGGTGGAAACCATCTCTGGCGAAGATGATGTCGTCGAGGTATCATTGGATGAAAATTCTGATGACAAGCCTGAAGAGGTGCAGAAAGAGCTCAACACCGAATCACCCGAAAAGCACAACTATCTAAATTGCCTCGGGCTTATCACCAAGTCCAAATGTATGGAGCTTCAAAACAAAAGAGTGGAAAGGAAACGTCGTAGCACGGCAAATCCGCAATTCGTATATTCCATGTTCGAGCAACCATCTGTAAGTACACGTTGATGATTTTATTTATATAAATAAATCTTGATGCAGGATGTGCAGATTAGCATGGCCTTTGCGGAAAAATAACATGCAAAGATAAATTAAGCTATCTATATCTTTAAACAGTGAATTTGAGGCGCTTTGGAAATAGATTTCTTCGCTATAATTTAACATCGTATTTTTAATTAATTTATGTTATTTAATTGGTATTTTTGATTCATATATTTTAGAAACGGAAGAGGCATTCGTACTTGCAATCCGGAAATGCGCCTCACACCCGCCAGACGACTGCACGTTTGAACGGTCCGTCGCCACCACCTAACAAAACTCAACCAACCAAATCTACCTCGCCTCCGACGCAAACAGTAACAAAGTCGCTGATCCCAATCCAAAAGTCTACCACCAGGCCAAATATCCTTAGAAATGCGGACAGTAAAGTCTTCATCAATAAAAGTAAAACAGAAGACAATCAAATACAATTATCCGCAACTAGTGCCAAATCTGTCCAGTCAATAGGTAACAAGGCTGTTCATATACCCGGATTACCGTCTAGTTTGACCATCGAAAGGATTGGAAGCGACTCTATCATATGCATCTGTTGTAGAAATCCAGGTAAATAAAAATATGATATTAATTTCATTTAAAGTTAAAAGACTGCGATTGCAATCTACATATCTAATGCATATAAACGTATAATTTGTCATTTTGCAGGTTCATTAACAACATGCAAGAATTGCTCAAGTAACTATCACGTCTCGTGTCATACTCAATCACCACCTCCATCCAGGATATGCCCAAAATGTGCGCTAGCAATGGATGAAGAAGATATTGAAAGGGATGAAGAAGCAGAGGTTAAGGAACAAGTGCAAGGCGAGAACAAACTGCCACGTTACAAAAAGGACGAAAAATTCGGTAAATCGTCCTCGGTTTCTTAAAAGAAGAAATCCTTCTCCTCCTTCAATAGCGCTAAGCGTGTGATTGACAAAAAAGTTCTTGTTCCTACAACAACTTAGTTGTGAAACGATAGGCTTATCTCATTTCGCGGCAGCATCTCGGTCCGGGGTCCTTGATTTTCTGATTATAAGGAAAACCGGCATTTTTTGCTGCCTTCTCAGTTAGCGGATTATAGAGAATCGGCGAGGTGCATATACGAAAAAATACTTGATCGAGATAAAATCATGAAGGACCGATAAATCGGCGCAAGCACATTATTTTAAATAAGCACAGGAATTTGTATAACATAAGTCCATAACTTCTAGATTTAACATACAACGAGGTCTCGCAGCGTTGCCGCAGACTTAATTGAGCATAAACACGCACGCACTGAATAAACGAGAGAGGCAGCCTGCCGGAAGAAGTGTCCGCGTGTGAGACCGGCTTCTCGAATACGGCCGAAGAATTTGCAATTAAGAAGAACTTTTTGGTCGATCGTCCACGATAGGGCACAAAAAAAACAACCTGTGTATTGAACGCAAAATATCTTGCAGAGGAGAAAGAGAGAGAAAGATATGAGCTGCGCGAGCGAAACTCGGATCTGAGATTGCAGGTTTACGAGTTGGAAAAACGCTCACAACTACTCGGCCAGTCACTCCAGGTTCGTCCTGTGGCCTGCATAGAGACAAATTATAAAGTTCACTTTTATTTGGAATGCTCTTGAGTTGATTGAATATGTAAATTGCAAACAATCTTTGTCCTTTTGTTTTTTCATCCAAAAGAACCTGCAAGATCTCTGCGTTATTTTCGTTTTTTCCCCTTTTTCTTTTTTTTCTTTTTTTTTTTAATTATACAAAGTTTTATGGAGACAAATCAATTTTGTTGCCTAAAATAATGCTGTAAATATGAAAAATGATCTCTTATATTTAGCGTATAACTATACATGCATATGTAGTAATGTTTTACATTGTTTTTATTATTTTTCAATACATAATATATTTCTTTCTCGAATGCACTAATTTGTTTGATAATCGACCAATTTTGACAATTTTTATTTATTATTCTTTCCGTATACATATAATATAAGTTAGCTTCATTTATCTCTTTTGCATTAACGATAAATACGATTTGCTTATTGCATTGATAAAAACATAGAGTGCTTGTGATTGTCTAAATATAATTCAGCTTTGCTGTTATTGATTACTGAAATAGACAAGCTATATATCTAAATTCTCTTGTGCTGTGATTAAGAATATATAAGATTATTCAATTTTATATGTAATATATATATATAAAATATAAATAACATATATATATATATATATATATATATATATATTATATATATATATATATATATATATATATA